ACCCTTAAAATGATTGTTTTAAGAATTAAGAAACTATTTGGAAATACACTTTCATATTTCACGATACTGAACATTTATAAAAGCAAAGAAATTGATATGTTCTCAGGAATGAAAAACCATTTTAAAAAATTCAATTTAGGGCCGGCCCGGTGGCGCACTGCTACAGCGCGCCGCATGGGAGTGTGGCGGCGCTCCCGCAGAGGGTTCGGATCCCACATACAGACTGGTTCCCGCTCACTGGCTGAGCGAGGGGTGGGCACAGCACCGAGGGTTGCGATCCCGTTGCTGGTCCTGGTCCCGTACGGGTGCGACACTGAGGGTTGCGGTCCGTTGCCGGACACCAAAAAAAAAAAGACAAAAAAAAAAAAAATTCAATTTATTTGTTAATCTGAAAAATAAACATGTTTCTGGATTTGATTTGAGTTCTGAATAATAAATCAGAAAAAAATGTAGTTATTTCAGTTAAGTACAATGAGATAAAGGACATACTTAGAATAGCATAGACCATTTTAAACATGCAAAATTGATTTTTTATAATTTCTTCAACACAAAAAATTTAATATGAAATTTCACTTAGCTTGTGAAATAAAAACATGTATATCAAGTCAAAGATTTTTTTAAAAATTATTAAATATCCAACACAACTCAGAATTACTACATTACTCTGCCCACTACCCAGCACATTACAGGGGGAATGTGGTCAATCACAGCATATTACTAAAAAAATTTTTTTTCCAGAAAGGAAGAGAAAAGTGGGCATCTCTGAAACTGTGAAAGTAAACTGTAGGGTAACACTGAATGTACTGAACTTAAAGTTATTTTTCTAAGCACACATTTTTTCTCAGCTGAAAACTCCATTTCCTACTAACTCAAGAAGTCAGGATAATGCTTCAAAATCTTGGGCTAAAAAATAAATGTATATTTGTGCATGTGTATATGTACATGTATATATAAGTATATGTATACATATGCCAACATTTCTTAATAGGTCTGTTAACAACAAAGCCTGCAACAAAAAGGCTGAAAAGTGACGATTCAAGCATAGGACATGTGGCTGATCTTCACACTTCAGCTCTCAAACTTTTTCTCAGGGCTCCTTTATATTCTTAAAAGTTGAGGACCACAAAGAGCTTTGTTTAAGGGGTCTTCAAAAAGCTGATGGAAAGATTACCATTATCTTTTAATTCTATTTTTCCATGAACTGTTTAAAACACTCTCACATATTCATTGATATTTCCTAAATTTTAAATATTAAAAAATAAACCCATTATACATGCACACTTCTTAAATAAAAAAGTAACATTATCTCTAAAATAATTAGAACCAGAGTGGCATTGTTTTATATTTTTGCAAATCTCTGTCTTAATAGAGGACAGTGGGACTTCAAGTCTCCTTCTGCAGTCAGTCCACATATTCTATGGGTGAAAAAATGAGAGAAAATCCTGCCTTATACAGATGTCATTAAGAATGGAGGAGCATTTTACAATATTTTCACATAATTATGGATGTTCTTTGATGCTAAACCAAATCTTAACAAGTAGTAGTTTCATAAAAGTTCGCTGCAACATGGAATCTGAAACCATATGAATGAACTTTTCACGCTTTCCTAAACTAAAACCCACTGTTTTGCACTTTAAACATATCTTTTACTGAGGTGTGTTGGTCATCTGGAAACACTGGTTCATCAAGTTTTGGGCAGAGATGCCAAATGTCAACACATTTCATTAGATGATGTATTAATCCGTTTTGTGTTGCTATAACAGAATTACCTGAGACTGGGTAATTTATAAAGGAAAGAGGTTTATTAGGCTTACGATTCTGGTACAGCTGCATCTGGCATGGGCCTTCAGGCTGCTTCTACTCATGGCAGAAAAGTGGCAGGCAGCTGGTGGGTACAAGCAGATCACATGGTGAGAGAGGAAGCAAACAGAGAAGCAAGAGAGAGAGAGGAGGTGCCAGGGCCTTTTAAACAACCAGCTCTCATGGGAACTAACAGCGAGAACTCACTCATTAATCCCCGCTCCCCCAGGGAGAGCATTAATCCATTCATGAGGGACCCGCCCCCATGACTCAATCAGTTTCCAACACTGCCACATTGAGGATCAAAATTCCACATGAGTTTTGGAGGGAACAACACATCCCAACTCCATCAGATGGTATTTAAAAAACACATTTGTTAATGTCACTTCCAACCTCCTCAGAAGTCTTTAATTACTGGGAAGACATCATCATCAAAGTCATGATGGCAGATACAAATTTTCCAGAATTCTAATTTTTGCATGAAAGCTTGAACTGTATCATTAGTAGCAAATACCATCCATTGTTTTCCTTAAGACTCACATCATTCATTTTGGGGAAAAGACTTACCAAATAGA